TGTTCAGCACCGCTTCATATAATGTGCGCACCCAGTGCACTTTCAGTTACTTTGGAATGGCGTCACTTTCAATGCAATAAGCGGTCCAATATACATCTGGTATGACAGTTGATGCTATTCTCAATTACAAACCAGTTCATTGTCGCTTACAACCCCTCCTATTGACTATCCGAAACGGCTCAAGGTCCAGAACGTCCTTGAGACTCAGGAGCGCACCGTCTTTGCAAACGGCTTTGAAGGATGTGACCCACTTCCTAGCCTTGCTCCCCGCATGCTTCAGCTCAAACTCCCCTACCGCCAAGGACTCTCCTTTTCCGCCTACACACGGAGGCACACGCGTCAGGGAATACTCAAGGTATACGACTCTGCTTTGAGCATATTGCTTGACAACAAGCAGAGCAGTCCTTGACAATCTTTGACGCGCGCTTACCACATGATTCACACTGGCACCCCTCTACTTCAGCAACAGTCTGCCGGGACTCCATGTCCTTCTTGACCACGAGAGTGCCCCTGAGCTTGTTACACTCGATGGGAATCCTCCTGACGTAGACAGGGCCCTTCCCCTTCCTCTTCTTGATACTTAGGTTCTCCTCATGCAAAGAGCGCTTCCTCCCCACCTGCAAAAGAGTAGCAATGATTACTCCCACCATGAAGTACCTTACAGATACATGCCTGCACAATGGCTGTATGCACATACAAAACAAGTAACATCAGACAGGGTGGAACGGTGCCTTACTTTGGGACTGTCAACTTTCTCCCCAGCATCCTTGGAACCCCTCGCAAGGGACAGGAGCTCCTCCTTCAAGCACGCAGTCACCCCTTCCAGCTCTTTGACTATCTTGTTGCTTTCCCTAGAGTCTTCTGCATCACGTAGAGCCCTGTCACGTGCTTTCTCCGACTCCTGCAGTCTTTGGGTCAATTCGTTGACGACCGCCTCGCCTTCTCCCTTCCCCTTTCTAACTTCAGCTTCGAGCTGTCGTATCGAGGCTCTAGCGTCTTCCCCATCACTTCGTGCCTCCAAGAGTTGGGCCTCGAGTTTCTGAATGGATAACGTTGACTCGTCCAACCTGAGCTGAACCTGCACCAACCGATATATGCAGTCAGGTGGCCGAATGAGCACATACATTCGTATGTACGCAGTGCGTGGGTCATAGCGCAAAACCGAGCAGAGCGCGCAGCGCAGCGCAGCGCGCAGAGCTCACCTGTTCTAGCTCCTCCTGGGCTCTCATCGATTCCCTCTGAGCCTCGCTCACTTCAGCCTCAAGCTGCTGGTGAGCAGCTCTTGACTTTCCCAAAGCCAGCACAGAAGCACCCTCTGACTCCAACAATTCAGCTTGAAGTTCCTGAATGGTTGTTTTCAAGTCGAGCTGATTCTGCACACATCAGCAAAGGGGCAGTTTACAGATGATCAGGATAATCATGCATCTGTGTACTGTACCTACAAACAAGGGTGCGCATCACAGAACAGCCCTGCACGTGCTTTCTCACAAAGACCTGTTTGCCTGAGTGCTCACCCGTTCCCATTCGACCTCTGCCTTCTTAGCCCTCCGCGCCTCCTCATAAAGTGCTTGGTTAGCCTTTCTCAAGTCTTCAACCTCAATACCAAGTCGCTGAATTGTAGATTTGGCTTCCTCTACCTCCAGCACAGAGGCGTCCCGGGCACTTATAGCCGTCCTCAGCTCAGCTTGGAGACGCACATTGGATGCACCCAAGGCCACCAACTTGCGCGTTCCAGCACGCCTCAAGTCACTGAGTTTGAACTCAACCTGCAAGATTCACCTAGACTTAGAGTACTTGCAGACCTCCGTGCATTCCCAAGGGTCAGAGCCGTGTGCATGCATGCATGCATCCTCCAGTTCTCAACACTGGCGCGCACTCACCTCTTTTTGCTTCTCCGCTGCTAGTTCGAGTTTCTGTGCCAGTTGTTTGTTCTCCACGTTGCTTCTTTGCAGCTCATCATGGATCCGGTCCTTCTCTAAGACGTACTCCTGTGTAAGTTTGCAGCAACCCTGGGGACGCCTCGACCACAGTGGCACAGCCGCACTCATGAACCCTGCAACTAACTCCTGCACGTGTTGGTAAGCCCATTTGCATTGGGGCAGGTGATTGGCCCCAACCACAAGGCTTACAAGCTTTCCTTGGCTTGTCTTGAGTGAAGAGAGGAGGTTTATCAGCTCCTTAAGGATTGCCCCAGCACTTTCCTCCCCGTCGTGTACGTTCAGCCCTCGGTAGAATATTGCTCCTGGGGGTGACACTAACAGTCGCTGGAAATCTGACCCCAAGTAGCGTGCTCTGACTCGGGAATTGTGTAGGAGGCTGAACAGGGCAATGTTGTTCGGGGCATTTGCCAACATTGCTGCAAACGCTGCTACGGAGTTGCTCCTCAGCGTGCATCTTTCCTGACCCTTTAGGAAATCCAGGCAAGGATGCATGGTCGGTGGATGAGGGCAGGTGTGATCTATTCCTCCGTTTGGGACCCTTTATAAGCTTGCAGGATTGGCAACCCTGCCAATTGGCGCTTGTGGCCTGAGCCATGGTGACCTCTTTGGCGGCACACTGGCGAAGGGGGCGCCAGTCGTGAGTCAAAGAGGTTGCTGGCGGGCTAAACAGTACTCGCGGGGCCCAGCTTGGCGATAAACGGCGGGCATCCGGGCACCCGTGTTTCCTATGGTTGGCGGGCACTGGCGAATAAGGGCAACTTGATGGGCGGCTTCAGGAAAGGACTTCAAAGCATGCACTCACTTTGAGAAAAAAAGAACCAGAGATTGGGCTAGCGGCGCTTCACATCTGCTGACGCCTCTTCGCAAGCGCCATGGCAGAAGACAGCTTCTTTGTAAAGAAATACAACCACACTCAACTTGGTGCTTGTGTCTTCACGGCCGAGGCAGCAAGGGAGTGCATCAGCAACATGCCTGGCAGCACCTCAGCGTGGTGCACTGAGAGTGTGTCAGCTTCCGCAGCAACGCTGACCGCCCAGCAAAGGGCCCTGCTGGACATGGCTCGAAGTCTTGCGGGGTTACACTCCCGCAGGTTGCTCAGGTGAGCATGGGACAGGTTACTCACGTGCGCACTTGTGTGGTATGGACGTTGGCCCAGGACAGTGGCGTATGATCAGCGTTTTGCGCTTGGTCAAGGATAAGCTGGGGCTTAGGGAATTGAGTAGTATTACCCAAGGTCTCTTTCGCAGGTGGCGGTGGTGGACTGGATCAGGGGTGGGCAAAACGGGGGTCTCAGGTGAGTCGTGGCTTAGGGAGTTGA